ATCATCATCATCATCATCATCATCATCATCATCATCATCATCATCATCATCATCATCATCATCATCATCACCATCATCATCATTGTAAACAGCAAAGAATTAAAAAAGGGGTGAGATTTGCAGAATTTCCAAATTTTATAAAAGTTCAACGTTTCGCCCAATAAAGGGCTTCATCAGGAACATACAAAAAAATAAAGCAAAATCTAATGACTACAAGCTGAAGTAATCATCGTCATCATCAGCAGCAGCATCATCACAAACAGTTTTTATGAAGAAAAAAAATCCTTCCGATTCTACAATAGTACACATCGTAATAGGATTTCTACCTGCATAGAACCGGTTGTTATTATTGTCTAAAATAAATGAGCAACATTCATTCAGTGTGTTATGGAAATTCTTCCTCTTTCCTCAAGTATTTCCCTCCCTCCCCCTTCCCTTTCCCCCTCATAGCCAACAGCTTACCCCTTGAACTGAAGAAACAGTGGCTGGTAAGGCATCTTCATATAAATGGCGTCGGTGGCCTAGTGGTTAGGCTCTCGGACTCGCAACCGTAAGGTCGTGGGTTCGAATCCTGTCAGGGTACTGACGTTGTGTTTTTGGGAAAGGCATTTTACACGAGTTTTCCTCACTTCACCCAGGTGGGAATGGGTACCCAGCTATAGACAGCGAAAGATCTTGTCAGTTTGTTAGTGTTTGAGCGCTTAATTAGCTGCTTGCACTGTATGCTTCCCGGGAAGCTGAGAATGTTTCTAAGTGTTCTATTGTCTGCTGGGGTAATAATATAGTGTAAAGCGCATAGAGCTTGCTTTCGAGCGGGGTTAAGCACTATACAAATGCTATCTATTATTATTATTATTAAATAAATGGGAACGGTATTGAAATCAACATGTTACATTTTGCTGGGGGAAGTGGAGGGGGGTGGGGTGCAAACTCTGTCAAAATAAGGGAGATAATCGTTCCGCAACATCTGCAAGACAGAGCTGTGTCCCTTTATACCCCTCTCTCTCTCTCTCTCTCTCTCTCTCTCTCTC